ATCACATCACCTATGATCCACATGATCTAGCACGATTTCGCATCTTGCAAACATAACACGTCAGTAATTTTGATTCTCATTTGATTTCGAAATATAATCCATCGTAAGTTAGTGAGTAGTGAGAAATTTTTGGGGAGTAAGATGAGAAAAAAAANAAAAAAAATAGAAAGTGAAATGTAAGCACTTTTCGCAATAACGCAATCGAGAGATTGACAACAACTTGCTGGTGTGGTTGGTGTTATGAATGGCAATGAGTTCTGGCTCATGGAGGACGTAATTTCGATGAATGAGTTTTCTGATGAGAAGGGATATTGACAGATGGTCGGTTGGTAATCAAGCGGGCCTCTCTCGGAAATCGATGAGTTCCACAACGATAAAACGATTAATGTGAGGGGTGTGACCGTGACGAGGGTAGGCAGTGTGGTAATATTGCTGCTCTGAAAGCGATTCTCTCGTTGTCGTAGAGATCGATCCAAAATTTTCAGCGAATGACAAGAAGGATTAAAGCATGCTGACTCACCTTTGAGTTATTGGAATAAACCGGAAGAAAGGTGAATTTAAAATTGGATTCGTGCTGAAAGACAGCTGAATCCTTCACTTAGGCCACAGATCACAAGGCTTGCGCCTGGTGTCAGTTTTCAAATAAACATCTTATGAGGAACATATGGTAGCCATATGTATATGAGGACATGACAAATTTTGATACGGAGATGGAAACTTATTTATCGTTTATTAGGTTTTTATCGACTGTATTACGAAAGATATCACGAGATGAGAAGATTCCGAAATCAGGGGATTATGAAATGTGAGAGCGAGTAGTGTACGAAAGTTGACAATTCTAAGCTTCGGTTCATCAAAAACCACTGTTCTGAGAGAACCACCATCATCTGAAATCAAAACATGGAATTGATACGCGGGGTTAGCGCACTCTAACAAACAATTTTACTCAGTTCCATGCGACTGAACCGCTTGATAATGCATGACAATGTACATAAATTGTTATTCGTTTTCCGCATTTCCTTCTCAACAATAGTTGGGGCAATATATTCGTCGCGTTGTTTTGATTTGTGTAGATCATGCGAATGTCATTATTACTACGCCAGCTGAGCCGTTCAAAGCAAACACACCAAAAACGTATCATGCTATCAAACATCATAATATCTATTTAGCAGCTGTAACATCATCGATTACACTGAAATATCATGCGTACAATCATACACTCAATTTTTTAATACATAAAATTCCCACCGAGTCAACAGATTCTCAACAGATCCAATGAATCTTTGATTGCTTTTCGAAGATAATGTATTCCAAATGAAAGGAACATTTTTTGAAAGCTTGTTTGAATCGCTAAAAACTTGGTGGGCAGATCACGGACCATCAACAAATCAACACAAAAACTAAGAGAACGACTGGTCGATTGCATATGACAAGGTTGTTGTCATTGTAATCAGATCATACGACATCCCACAGGCAGATTGCTGCGCGCTCACTAACGAGAAAACCGCTGATGCTGTAATCGCAGAGTATCGAGTCCTAAACATAATAACTCATCAACACACCAATTCACCTCCCAATCAAATCATCTCACTCTTCAGTGTTTCATGGCAGCGATGAAAATGAGAATCCACGAAGACTGGCATGGGATCAGACGAAATTGTATCGATCAACGAATTTCCTGCGAGCGTTACGAGTTTTCACAGAACGTTTCTGGAATAAACCAAAAGTGACTATTGAAATTGACGTAAATATTCGGGAACGTGCCTGCGAAATTCGAGTAATCAAACATCCGTATCACTTCATTTGCATCCATTATTTTTGCTAAAAGTGTTCGCACATCATAAATCAAGCCAGCGATATCCTACATCCTCAATGATGTTCATTAACACTCTCTGCAATTGCCCAACTTCTGCTTTCATTCTTTCTTGTCGCTTCTAATTCGCACCCTTCAAGTAAATTTTTCAATGATGTTGCCTGGTCTTAATCGTAAGGCTCATTGCCAAAACATCAACTGATAATAGGATATGAGCTTCTGAGCCTTATGACTTCTATTCATAATTTCATGATAACCGAATTTGGAATCAAGAATGGGATAAAAGTGTTTGCTTTAGACGTCTTCAAGAATGAGCTTAACTACCCAAAAGCGCACCAACATCGAACAGACACGTCATTGACCCATAAAATTGCTTGTCTAGTCCAGAGAATACGAAGAATCGTTCTTCCAATAAAGATGTATTACACAAACGACATCTGATTATTCATTCAGCAGCTTGTTAGTGCACCGAATTGCGTGCGTCTCGATCGTGCCACACACCAACAAATTTCATCTGAACCTCCAAATCCAACGTTCACCGCAATTACACTGAACATAAATCCCGCTGTTCGTCTCTTTCGTTTCAGCCATAGGAATTAGCCTCGAAAAACTCATTCAATTTCATTTGGTCATAAATCTCGATTTCTTTTAGTCCCCAATTTATTATCGTATCGAATACACTCAAGCGAAACGTTCGCAATTTAAGCATTCGCTTTCATTGATCCAATCAACGGTAAAAAGTCAAACAAGCAAAGTCAACTTGCATAGTCAATTCTTTTCCTCTTCATCTTCGTCAAAGATCCTGCATGTGATAAACAGCAATCTCCATCTGGGAATACGATGCCTCACTCATCAAACGAGAAGTCGCTGATTACTGATACATCTTCATGACAAACTGTCAACTGCTGAATCAATGAAAAGCAAAAAAAAAACACTCGATTGATCAATAATATAGTCAATAAATCTAGATTTAGCAGCAGGAATATCAGTCAATCATATTGGATTTCAAAAGATTTCGGTGAATCATATTGGATTTCAACTCACAACAAAAAGCAAATCTGCAAAATGATACTATCGCCAGCACTAAAAACTAAAATCTTCTTTAATACATCAATGGCATTAACTGTCACGAAGATAGATAATCGTAAGATATCGTTTCCAAGCGACAAATATATTTATTTTGCAAGATATTCATCTTCATCGAATTTGCTCATTATAACAAATTTTCAACCTAACCAGCGGATGATGCTAATAAATATGAAAAAAATGACGCTAATAAGTGCTCGATGACGAACGGATGAAAAACAACTGCCGCAGAACTGCTCTTTCAATCACTAGCATACGGCTCAAATAGGGAAAATACGTCACAGCGATGAGAGTAGCGATGAATTTTAACACTGGAAAACTTATGTTGTCTAACAAACACACAAATAATTCTCAAGCTTTGAAATGAAAGCAAAAGCAAATTGAATGTAAGCAAAACAACCCCGATGTGAAAAAGAACTGATCACTAGTAAAAACGCGACAATAAATGAGATGGAGTCGTATTAGACGGGTGATCACGATAGCATCATATCGAATACATTCATAAATCATTCATAAACAAATTGATCTAGCCTCATTAGCGATCCCAATTGAAATTACCCAACTATTTGCGCACAAAACTAATTGTCGAGGATCACTGAATACAACAAGTGCAAGATTGGTTTCAATTGCATTCATCAGTATTACTGTGAATGATTGTATCAAAAAGAATACTGACAATTAAATATTACTGACTGTGAGAGGAGAACCGAACGGTGCACACTGATTCGAAGAAAAATCTGAGGGCAGTCCTTAGAGTAAACACTAAAACTCAACACTAAAATATTTAATGATATCTTTTCGTTGTTATTCCAACGTATCGGAGGATGAAAAGGAGAATTGAGAATCGAGGATAATAAAAGTGAAAAAGAGATTCACATTGACTGGATGGTTAACAGGGAACAGAAGAAAGCTAGTGATTGATCGACAATATTTATCGCATTGCGTAGACAATAAAAATGTACTAAGTTCGTTTAATAAAAAGAAGCATTCAGTGATAAAAACCAGAAAGTTCAATAGGTAGAGTGCGGATTTGAACGATTCTGAGCACACCATATGCTTTGCGGCAACTCCTTTGTATCTCAAAATTATAGCTAACGAGATGATGACCAGAATTTATCTTGTGCTGGCGGCAAAACATTTGCCGCCAGCAGGGGTCGAACCTGCGACCTTGGGCTTATTAGACCCACGCTCTAACCGACTGAGCTATGGCGGCTACACCAANACTGAGCTATGGCGGCTACACCAACTTATACTGATGAACTAAAACATTAAAGACAGAAATTTCAAGGAAGAAGCAATTAGACGAGATTTTTAACTGTCACTTTATCTCAAACAATATCCTTTCTGGATATGATCAATAGCGATTGGAGGAAACAATCCTCTCTCTCCTCCGAAGTTCTATTTGAGCTAACTGTCTTCTCAGGTTTGCCCGGAAACATGCGAATTTCTTTTAACCGTTCGATCCAGCAGAACCTCTAGATTCAGAATACTAAAAATTTTACTCGAATCGGCCTATTGCTATGTGAAGATATTGATTGCTCTATAGTGATCAATTTGTATAAATGAGCGCGACTGCGCTATTTAAATGAGACATACCTTCAGAAAATGGCTATGTCTCCTCAGAATAACAAAATCGCTCTACAAAATATATATTTTTCTGAATGAAGAGATCCAGCTGGATCGACTGATGCAAAATTTTAATCGCTCAGCCTATCTAGTAAGATAGACTGAGCGTGTGCGACTAAAATTCGTCCCACTTCATTCCGCCATACATCTCATTTACATCATCTTGACTACCACTGTTATTTTTTCTCTACCATTCATTTTCTGCACATTGCAGCTGTCATCGTAATTATTCCCTATAATTGCATCTAAAGAAATTGCAATATAAACGGCTTCATGAATTTAGCTCTTCATCATATTCTCGAGCGCACAAAAGAGCTCATCGAAAATTGTGCAAACTACGCGCAGCTGGACTTGATGTCAAAAAATGATCATAAATATTCTTTACCAGTTAATCCGAAACGTTTCCAACTCAAAGGAACGACAAATATTTATTGGTAGCAATGCATTACACTGGATAATTAAATTTTCATAAATTATCACAAATCATTCACTGATTCAGACAAGATCTGTTGCGAGAGACCAAACGATTATATGACTTACATATGATCACTTCAAAGAGGAGCAAATTAACAATATCGGCGCCTTTTCAAGATCAAAGGATCAGTGAAGACTTCAAAATTATTGCGAAGAAATCTGCACCGTCATTTTTCTGATTGGCATATTTCTGCCCATTTCGATCAAATGAACGATAATGTCCAATAGAAATCAAACGAAAGTAAGAATGACGATGACAATGTAAGCAGACGATAATCGCACGAATAACGACAGCTTCCAAAACATTATTATAACTAAATATACACACAAACTACCACATCAGAGTGAATGAATGAAAAACGAAAAAGTGATGTAAACCACAAGATTGATAGAATATCATGAGCGCAAGAAACAGTTCGATTCAAAGAGCGTTGATTCTTCCGTCTTGCGACGAGGCGATTCTTAAAGGAATCGGCATTCACCTTCGTCTTCGATTGCCACCCATTCCTCCCATTATCATTGCCAATCGAATGAAAATATTCAACACATCCAAATAAATGGACATCTGACTGCAATCAAACAAACCATTAGGAGTTGATGTCATTTTGCCTTTCTGCTAATGAATATTTGAAAACATTGCTTGTTGAAAGAGAATAATATCTTTGATAATGGTTTCAAAGGTTTACAATCCTCATGAATAAACTGATCGATAAAACTTACGCATTGATAGGATCGTAACGTTTCAAATACGGTTGCATATCCATATCTTGTACACCATACCCATAATTGCCGTATGAATACGATGCCGGCGAAGAAGGTCGATTATGAACCGGATAACTTTCAGCCAACTTCACCACTCGTTGAGTATCGTGCAACAAGAACATTGAAAACAGTATCAAGCCACCATAGACCACTATTGATGCCAGTCCTTAAAAGTGAATATTTCATTAGATTCGAAACCGAAATAAACACAAAATTCAATTCACAATATATACAAAAAAACGCACTAACCAGCTCCAAGAGCACTCCCGGGTGGCAAAAAGAATGTACCAATATTCGCGACGAATACCACACCTAGGCCCATTGCTAACGGGCCAGTCATCATGAGGAATTTCTCAGATGGTGCTGAGATGGCCGTGAATGATAAACCTAAAACACCATGATGATATTCTCCCGTAAAACCATGCCCCGATGCAATCCAAACCGAAAATCTTTCAAAATACAACAATGAAAACTGAAACCCAATGCTTTAATACGCACTCTTACTAAACAATTGGATCATAACAATTTTTGAAACGTCGAGAATGATATTATATTCTATAATCGAAATTTGGAAAAAGAATTTCCAAAGCGACTGAACCTGCAACAATTCCAGCCGTATACCAGGCTGCTCGAATAAGCACCGGTCCTCCAAGGAAACACAACGGTGCAAGCATAGCACCAAACAGTCCCGCGTGTGTCAACCATGCTGCATGCTTCAACACTGTGTTATCGTAACTGATTGCCTGTGTTATCATTCCCGATCCAACGATTACGGCCAACGTTGCGAATGTTGTCTGAATTTTACAAATAGCCATTTCATCGATTTCTAACCAGATTTATGGAAGCGCTGATCACTGATAGTGACAGCATCAGATGCGTTCTAATTATTTACAACAATGAAGAGCAGACACGACACCAACAAAAGCATACCACAAGACTTCCACTTGACATCAAACGCATAATCGTATACGATCGGGACGCCGCGACCCCTGAGGCTGCCGTTACAGCTAAAGATGCAGCCAAGTAACCGTACGTAGATTTTAGTCGATCACGAACATGTTGAGGCCAAAGACTATAAACATTCAAAGATTATTAAAGTACTAAATAATGAAAATGAAAACATAACCTTTCCCCTACTCAATTCACTATCAATATCGAAAAACAAATTCAATGAAATGAACGAATAATAAATGAGATGTCAAAGAACTAACGCAGATTGGCTCATGATACTTGCTTCCTTCGATAAACCCAACCCATAATAACACAACATTCCTATTCCCAGCGCAGATGCACCAGCAACTGCGTAAGTACCATAGATGAATGCTGAAATGGAAAATTCACACCGATGATAATTTCATAGGAGTTATGAGATTATAACTAATGATGGCTATTCGCTGCCGAATGGTTCTTTTCATCGGCATCAACTTACGTTTGCCAGTGGTCGGTCCGAGTAATTTTTCACGCAATGTTGGCCCAACTTTTTCACGAACGGCAAAACCCTGAAATGTGTAAAACATCGTTCATTCGCGCGGAAACATCATCAAGACTACTCCCAAAAATTTCCTTTTCGCGAACAACAGATACTGAGAGTTTATGAAATCACTTCCCCATAACGTTCAATATATTATACCAAACAATATGAAATGAACATATTAAACGAAATCATTGCCTGTTGCGCATAACGACCTCCGATTCCTCGTGCAGCATTCGCTGATGTTTTCGAAAACTGTCGGATGGTTGGAAGAATAAGAGCACGAAAGTGGCTCGACTGAGTGTAAAGACCTGACAACCTTGATAGCATGCTCACGACTCGCTATAAACAGAACTTGACTGATGTCAATAAATGCTATCAAACAAATGGCTCTCGGTAAGGACGCATTCATCAAACACCAAACAAATCCTATTTTGGAAATCGACTAAATCCAGAAACCGTGTGACGCTACCGACGCATAATGATACAAAACGTAGTGGCAATCAGAATTCGTTCGGTATTTACGTATGCCCATGGAAACCGTAACAGAAACTGTTCACTACTTATTAAATTATCCAATACTGGAGTTCACTTTTCTGTTTGAGTCAGAAATATGGGTAATGTTGTATTTCAGGTTGGTAAAATCACAACGGCATTTCGTTCGTTCGAACGTTTCTTGCTGTGTTCTAACCAAGTAACATATTCAGTTGCGAATGTGAACAAAATGCCGTTGTGATTTTACCAACCTGAAATACAACATTATCTAAATGTAAATCAGTCAACAGTTCGAATACGCAACTTCCAATGACTGATAACGAGTGTAAACTGAAGAGGAAACGTCGTAAACAACCCCTGGATATGCTGTCGGTCACACACCAGTGAAACACGTCAATAGCACTTCATAAGACTGACAACCTACCGTTAACAATTAAGCTTAAACATAATAAATAGTGTTTGAAAGGAAAATTCCCGAATGCCAGCTGTAACGATCGATCAGCTGATCTGGTGAGAAAAGTTGCATCATTCATTGCGATTATGAAATTTTCAGTGATCATCGATCAAAATGCAAAGTTCTTTGGCAATCGAACGTTGCTTGAGTTCGTACCTAGCCACACCTTGCAGCTTAATTTTAGAAATATATCTAATTGTAAGCATTGTCGGGCATGTGAACAGATCTAATATATTTGTCATGTTTAAGAAGCCGTTCACTTCAGAGCTCGATAGAAATCATGAAAGAATTGTGAAAATACTTGCAACAGGAAATCGTCATCTTTATCCCAATTTGCAAGTCAAAATTGGAAACTTTTTCATGCCCCGAAAAGGCTTGATTTCATTTATCCAATTACATTTTCAACTGATCTGAATACGACAAGATACACCTTTGATCACAAGATAGATTTCTGGCCATTCCAGTTACCGAGTTTATCTTACGACAGCAAATCCTTTGGTGTTATATCTTTATTATGGTTTCACGTCGTCCTCTCAATGAACATTTTAAATAAAAATAAAAAACCTATCAGAATTAAATCTTTGGTGATGTAGACTGATTAAAAATCGATAGGTGCATAACAAATTTATCAATCGCGAATAATTTTATATAAAAATAGCACAATACAGTACTAACAATAAGTGTACCGTACAATGCAGTAAAATTGGTAAGATTTGTAATTCTAGTTGTGAACTATCCGTGAGAGGAAAAAATCATTGTCCACAAGTTGGAGTACACCAAATTTGTAACTGATTACATTTCTGGTAACAATCGATGGGGTAGGAGGTATTCGGCGGCACTAGTTGGTGTGAGTACCATGTTTTCCTTTTTCACACTTCGGCGATTCAGTTGGCTGCTGATCTTCGAATTTCGATGATGGATAAGCATCGATCCTCAGTGCGTGCACTGGACCTGCTAACTCCTCGGCAAGACATTTGTTGACCATTCGATGCATCTTAATTACCGTAAAACAATTCTTCATTAATATCTGAGAGTAATTTAATTGCTTTTGAATGGTGCTGAGTGAATTCAATAACTGACACAATTTAAAAAACTAAAATAAGGTTGACATTGAAGGAATGTGGGCATAGATATACCTCAACAGTACGTAATCCTTCAAAACGATTCGATGCAATCTGAACACAAAAATGTCGCTCGGCATCCTTTCGCCCAGCATGCAAAGGGCTTTCACAAATAACCTCCAGATGAGTTGGCTGCAAATAACATCCGAAATAAACGAAGTACGTTGATGGGATATTGAAGAAAATATCCGGTTACTTGCTGTTCGGACACTGATTGTGTGCAGTTGGTTTGCTGATCGCTTTAAGCGATCGGTAAAATATTTACCGTTGCTACAATTATTTACTGGATGGTATTCGGCTATGTTTGATTACATAAATTATTTATAGTAATGGGCATTCATTACTGCTTGCTTGTGAACGCAATGGACCTGTTCTTTTTCATTAATTGAATTCGTTTTTATCACTGATCCCGAAAGACTATCACTGATTCAGGGTTGTTTTAAACAGCTATTGTGAGCGATCATTTGACGCATTTAATAAGCGGAGTGCATCACCTCGAATTGCTCGACCAATTTTTGTCGTATTCTCGACTGAACTGGACCTTCAGCGGGTTTTGTTGACGACAGACATCGAACGACGAGAGGCGAACGCAGAGATGAAGTTAAAAGTGATAGGGCACGCATTGCTGGATGAACTAAACAATTTATATACATTAAATTCAATCGAGCGGGCATATCTATTTGATACATTATTG